TGTGATTTTTTCAAAATATGGTACTTTTCGCCACTATTAAAATAAAATGCTTATAACTCTTGAAGGATTGAACGAGAGCACGAATGGTTTTCAGATTCGTAATCAGCATCCTTAAATTAGCAAAGTGAGGTACATTGCTTTGAAACCCCAGGGAAACACCTGGGGACGTTCCCTCGTTAGTTTTGGAAAACAAAAATTCTTCATTGGAATTTTTTGCTAAAAGGTATGCACGACACAATGGAAAGTTCAATCTCGCTAGCATACACCTGTATGGAGCGATAAAATCAGAAGAAAGGATGGGAGAATAATTTGGATACACATTTTTTTAGATTCAGGTGTTACCGAGCATGAATTTTTTCGTTGTTGCAGGTCAAAGAATTGATGTGGGAGAAATAGAAAATTGTATACGGCAATCATTTGATAATATTTCTAATTGTGCCGTTATTAAAGTCCATAATGAAAAACAAGATTACTTGGCGGCATATATTCACTTATCGAGCGAGAAGGACATCATTGAGAATAACAGTAATAATCAGCTATTACTAACGATAAAAGATGAAAACCATATACTATTTGAATCTCACATAAACCAGCATTGCCAATCAAACATTATATATGGTATCCCAATATTATGTGTTATTGAATAAATTACCATTAGACTCAAATGGAAAAGTAGACAAAAAACAGTTACCACCCATTAGTTTTTCACAAATTGAAAGTAATGAATACATCGAACCAAAAACAAAATTAGAACATGATCTACAGAATTTATGGTTTATAGTGCTTTGCATTAATCATAGCATATCAATGAATCAAATGGAGATATTTCGATATCACGCGTCAGTTCTCAGTAGGTGTCCAAGAGAGGATTGAGTATTATTCAATGAAAAACAGATTTGCCTAAAAGAAATTTCGCTCAATTCTCCATAGAAAACCTCGGTAGAGAAAACCTTTTAGATGAGGAAATACTTGCCCTCTAAAAACTTACAGATCTCCGCCTTTTTAAAATGTCGCCTTTTTTTGATTGTTGATTTAAGCTTCATTGTTTTCCGAATAAAGCGGAAATAATATAGTATTCTTAAAAACTATGAAGAACCAAAAACCAATTTTGTATAAATGGACAGTCAAACAAATAAACTTAGCTTTACAGTAAACTGCAAAACTAACTCTACTGTTCTATGTGTATATTTTGTACAACGACTGAATTAGTGCAATCGAGTCTATGCTACCAGTATTCATTTTTTCGGCTTGATTTTTAAGGCACAAGAGGTATCTCTAAGAACCTCTACTCGCTATTGCACGCTTGTGTTCTGCGGACCTCGTCGCCACTGACTTTTTTTCTTCTATGTCCTAGACTCTTAATCACGGGAATAACAGTTATTTTTTGTGAGCCCAGATAAACAAAAAATCATTTTGTGGACTTGACAGAATTCGAGGGATGAAAACTTTTGAAAAAGTCCTGCGAGGAAAATTTTTGAAATTTAGACTGAAAATCTGCTACAGGAAGGTTTCTGGAACATTCAGGTTTCAGGGGAACATTTATTCACAAAACAGTATATGGTTCAACTGATGCTATACATCATCGGGGTTTTCATTTATTAATAGAATCAGTTTATACATTAACATGTATCGTTGATAAGCACGTAGACAGTTCTTAAAGTCTAATGCTCTCTACTCTGTAAAAAAGAAAGAGAACCGTATTTTAAAGAAGCTCGAAAATAAGATCTATTAATCCTTTATCGTTTTTTAAAATACGGGAAATGATTTTTCCGAGGCCAAATAACCGATAAATGGTTCTGGACGGTAATGAACCCTATTTTGGAGCTTTTTAAAAATACGGATTCTTCCACGGGGCAGGTTTTTTCGGTAGCTCAATCAGAATATGTCTTGTTTGGTTTTGATGTTTTGCATGGGAAACGTACTGGGTTATGTGACTATGCCTTGTCAGATAAACATGTCGAGTACAAGTATGAAAATATCATACCTGTACACATCTCTATTTCAATATCTGAGAGAATTTTGCATGGAAATTTGAAAAAAAGCACTTTTAAATTAATGTATTTTTGGTTGGATGTTAGTACTTTTTGATGTGTAGGCGAACGCTCTGGAATGGCCACGCAAAAACGACCCAGTGTTTTGGGTTATTTATCTAGATTCATCCGCACATGCATCTAGATGCACGTGAAGATGAATCTGACTCTGAGCTCCATGGGTTCAACCTTTTCACGAAACATTGAGGCGTATTGAATATAGAGGAAAATCAGGTCAAACGAGCGGCGGGAGCAATCCGAGCATGACCGTCTAACGAAAACTTTACAACTGTTACTAATGTTTAACATCTGGTGACGAAGCGCCAAACGTGGTCACTGTTTCAGACACTTCGACAACGTCCATCATGATGAGCGCGGAATCTGGGGTTGCAAGCCGAATGATCCGTGACACCACTCCTGCAACTCGAACTGACGGTGTTGCCATTACGATTGCTGTTGAAGTTGCCGCTAATGCTATCCCGGATCCACCCTCCAAGCTGGATCCAAAATCCAGAGACAGAGATTGTCCCAGTAAGATCTCTTCCGTCGAAGTAACTACATACATAACGGGCGGTTTGCAAGAACACACTCCGATCGCAATAGGCATCACGAGATTCTGCAGCTTTCGCTGACCTGTAGAAGGAATGCGACTATGGGCCAAAGTGCAACTTGGCTGAGGAAGATTGCCAGAAATGGTCTTCATTTGGGACTCAAAGTAGCGCTTTTTGACATAGCACAAGATTCTCTCGTCCCGAAATTCTTGTTTAAGACACTGTCCCATGAACACGATATGGTCGCCAACTGTATGATGTACGGTCAACTGCACCCGGGCGATTCTGCTTGCGCCTTGTTCTAACTTCTGGCACTTCTCTGGACTCAAGATCGCTGAATCTGAGCGATCAACCATTGCACGTGCCAGCTCTTCCTGTGTCCGAGACAGGAAATACGCAGTCAATTCAATGACAGAGCATCCTTCTCCATTTGCTAACAAGCGACACAACCGATTTTGTGTAGTCAGGGAAACAAAAAATGATCCTTCCACAGAAGCAAAGGCGGACGTGCACACAAACGCAAATCTCAAAGGTGCCGCACACACGGATTCAGCCGACTGCAGCTCCTCATGTTCACATACCTTGGAGCATGAAGAAGTTACTACGAACGGAATCCTTGCAGTAAGGACACAGACTGGTAGCGGCAAGCTCGTCAACAACCGGCTGATTTGCAATGACAACCGATCAGCCATGGATGACTTTCCAAACGTACGTCCATCCTTGCTTGTAATGTAAAAATCCAGCAGAGAATACGGAGGCAGGAGGGGCGAATTATTCGAGCGATTCGCAATGTTCCACAAGAACTGAGCACAACCAAACATCGACGATTCTACCATTGCAGAAGTTGCAAGCGCATCTGCCCAGGCGCCGATGTCGTTTACATGACTACCAACTCGAGCATCACCAAGAGGAGGTTTGGTCAACCCTAATATCACCGTGACGCTAACTGGTGCATCCGCTGCAAGACGCACAGGCTGCAGTGTGCTTGGAGTGTTAGGTCAACAAAGGTTTGCTCATCTGCATTATAAACAAATGTATTCCAGTACGGATAAACACATTCAAGAAAAAACGAAAATATCTTCCAGTTAGTTTTTCGAAAACAGCCTATTTGCGATGCTGTGAAAGGTGCAAAACAGAGCACAGGAAAATGATCGGATGTTCCTTCACTGAGAACCTCTGTTTTCCATCCGCTCGCATCATTTGTGATACCGAAATCAATAACGGACTTAGATTTTTTGGATGTTGGTTTTTGGATGCAATGATCTCATATCCATTCGCATCGAGCTAGTCCTTCAACTGGATCCCACTAGAATTATTTTTCGCGCAGAACCATTCAACGTTTTTTGCATTAAAGTCACCAAAGATATAAAATTTTTTCTCAGTATGGGATTCAAAAAGATGAAAGGGAGGTTTTGTATTTGGAGGTATATATACAGCACCAATCAGGACTGGTTTAGGGATTACTTCTAATTCAAATAAAATAAAATTGGTGTCAGTATTGACAGTTTTTGTTTGAAGCGTGTGATGAACTAGCACCGCCACGCCTCCAAAGCTGTTCGTCCCAGACTGCATCAGCCAACGATATCCTGGTATAGAAGGAAGATTTTTCAAGAGTGCACCCACACCAGTAAGAATGGCTATTTGGGGAGTATACGTTGATAGTAGAATATCCACATCAGCTAGATGAGAACTTAATCCTTCCACATTAAAATTTAATAAACATAAATTTTTAGCTACCTTATCCGGTCTCTTCTTCTTCCATAATCGACAAAGATCAGAGATGCATTTTCTAGAGTTCCATTCGGTGCACATCTGACTAAGGGTGTATTTTTCACTCATTGAGCCATCATACTTGTTAATAATGTCTTTTCTTACACGCGGATCGGAATACCTGAATGTCGCATTATTCATTTGAGCAAAAGAGTAAGTCCATTCCCTCGATTGAAGCTGCTGTTAATTTCCCAATCAGTGTCGTATGTTGTTTTTGAATTGAAGTGTGATATTCAAAGAATTTATTGTTTTCGATGAGTAGTTGTTGTGGCATTTGATTTAAATTATTTTTCAGTGTTTCATTTTGTTCATTGTTCTGAAGGATTTGAATGATTGACGACATTATTTGGAGAACACTGGCTCCCATTGGCATGATGGTCGAAATAATGCTGGTCGACAAACCGGAGATCATTTCCTGTTGGATTTTTACTTGTTGAGATATTAATTGCCAACCTTCGCGAAATTGAATCATTTTCTTTT